AGGGGGAAGGGTAAGCTGGGACATAGTGAGAGTGGCAGGGACATATATACACTACCAAACGTAAGCAGCCAGATAGCACAGGGAGATCAGCTCGGTGCTTGGTGACCACCTAGAGGGGTGTGATAGGGAGGGTGGGAGGGAGGGAGACGCAAGAGGGAAGAGATATGGGAACATATGTATACGTATAACTGATTCACTTTGTTATAAAGCAGAAACTAACAAACCATTGTAAAGCAATTATACTCCAATAAAGATATTAAAAAAAAAAAAAGGAGCGATCAAATCGAGAATTGGCAAGAAGTAGTGTCTCTCTACTGATGCTTCAAAATGTTTCCACTTATTAAAAGATTTCTGTGCTGAACACAAATTCTAGCTCCCCGGGAGAGTACTTGTACAGAGAAGAAGCATGCTGCTTTAGCAGTAACTCCTCTTCATCCACCCTGCTTGGTGCCTTGTGAAAATGCCTTTTGTCAGCTTCCCACAGCTCTGGGCCTCAGTGAGTCACAGCCAATATTCCCCCCTCTCATAAAGCAGCAGGGTACCAGGAAGACTAACTCCTCCCTACCCTTTTCTTTCTTCTATATATATTTTGTGCATCACTAAACCAATTAGCATTTTGCTGTCACTAGACCAATTAGTGTCTACCCTGCTACAAAACAATCTCCCTATATAATGTTCAATAAGCCTCAGCCTTAGTGAGTTCTTCCAGTATTCAATCTATATTCTTCGTGCTGCTGTGTAAGCTTATTACCTCTTATATGCCCCTCAGTAAAGTCAGAAAATATATTCACTCATTCATTCAGCAAGTATGTACTGCATGCTTCCTCTGCGCCAGGCATCATATGTGTCAAGGATACAGATCTCTGATTTCATGAGGCTTACAGTCTGGTGAGGGAGATAAGGATTAAATAAATTATTGTATAAAAGTATTTCATTGTAACTGTGATAGGTACAACAGAAGAGACCACGTACAAGGTGCCCCCAAATGAGTTACTAATTGGGACCTGATTGACTTAGGAGGGTCAGTAAAGGGTACCCAATCAAGCTGTCATTGAAGGTGAAATCTGAAGGAAGAAATAGGAGGGAAAGGAGCAAGAGCATTGTAGAGATGGAAGAGCCTGTGCGGGGGAGCTGGGGCTGGAGGGCCCAGGTATGTAAACGAACAGAAGGAAGGACAGAGTGCGAGGGGAGAGAGGCAGAGAGGATGGAGAGAGGTAGCAAGATCGAGATCAGCCAAGGCCTTATAGGTCATCTTAAATAGTGGACTGAGCCCAGAGAAAACGGTATGCCACTAAGGATTTTAAGGACAACAGCATGGTTCGTTAGGTTTTTATTGAGAAGCATCATTTACTACTATGAGAATAATGAACTGAAGAAGACAAAAGTGGAAGAGAGAGACCAGTTCAAAGCTACTTGGTAGACTGGGCAAGAAATGATAACAGTGGGGTTAGGATGATTCAGTGGAAATGGAAACAATTTTTAAAAATTAAGATCTACCTAGGAGGTAGAACGTACAGTACATACAGGTAGAACTGGGAGAGAGGGAGGTACAAAGGATAACTTGATGGTTTTGGCCTTGAGTGACTAGAAAGATGACGGTGGCTTTTGTAGAAAGAGAGAATGCTAGAGGCAAAGGAGCTAATTGGAATTATTGGGGGACGGGGGTCCACGAGGTCCGTATTAAGCATGTTAAGTCTGAGATATCTGTGAGATATTCAAGTGGAGACGTTCAGTAGCCAGCTGGATATACAAGGCACCACATCAGTAATAAAAATCCTTCTATATTATAGCAGAGTCAAACACTATATTCTTTTACTTTTCTTTTTTTTTTTTTTTTTTTCTAGAAAAGGGGTATGTTCCAGAACTGTATTATTCAAAATGGAAGCCACTAGCCACAAGGGGGCTACTTAGATTCAAATTAATTAAAGTTAAATAAATTAAAAAACTAGCTTCTCAGTGATGCTAGGCGCATTTCAAGTACTCAGGGTGGCTCGTGACTACTTGTATTGGACAACACAATGGACATTTCCATTACTGCATAAAGTTCGATGGGAAAGCCCTGGCTAGAACGTCAGAAGGCTTCCTATTTACAACACTCAGCTCTGACTGGTCTTTCAGTGAGCGTTCAACTGTCACCAAGAAATAGAATCCTACTGTATTTTGTGTCCCAGACAAAGCTTTGAGGTTGAAGATGAAGAAGATATGGGAAAAGAAGTAATGATAATCCTTGTTATTCAGATATCTTTCAATCCATCATAAAAAAGAAACAACAAAACAAAACAGATGAAGGATGAAAGGCATGGGGAGAGTGTATAAGAGGCATGGGGAGAGAGCCCATATTTTAAAAATACTATCAGATCAACTGGGGAGACTAAAATCAGATGAAATTAAGTACCAAGGAGGCATTAAGTGCTTATTTGGATTTTGACAAAAGAATGGTAAATTTATAGCCAATATTTTACAATAACTATAAATGGAGTATAACCTTTAAAACTGTGAATCACTATGTTGTACACCTGTAACATATAATATTGTACAATAATATTGTACCTCAATTTTAAAAATGAATGGGAAATGGATTCATGAAAGAGAGGGAAGGATGTAACCCAAGTGGGGAAACAATTTATTCAAAAGGCTGTGTACGTCTGGAATGCCAGCCATGTTTTTCTGAAAGAAAACAGAATCTGTGATGAACTGTATAAGAAGCAGAGTAATGGAGAAAAAGTCCTTAAGTGAACAAGTGGAAGAAGAACTAAAGAACCCAATTTGGAAGCATTAATTGTGTACTGACTTACTGAGGCTAACTCAGACACGCAGCTAACCACTGGGGATATAAGTGATAATGGGGTCCTGACCTTGTGCTCAAGAAGCTCCTAGTCTAAACAGCCATAGCCAACCACCAGGCTGTCAGGATGCAAGGCAGGTGATAAAAATAGGTTTTACAAAATGTGTTCTTGCTCAATAAATATGTAAACTAAACACCACATTTGCAACATACAAGACGTATATCTCACCAAAGAAATGCGTTTTCAGAAATTACTATACACCTGGGAGCTTAAATTGTGGATGGAAGCTCAAATGAGGTGAACAACGTGAAGGTCCTGGAATGAGCTGTGATGGGGCAGAGCAGACATTCAAGTGCTTCATCCTGTGAGCATGTCTTTTCACTGTCTTCCTTCATTTTTAACCAAAATTAATAAGCCAGACACTACATTGCACAGCGTGGGTTACTCCTTTAATATTTTAAATTCTTTAGATTTCTTAGTAATGTAAGCCATGGCTCAAAGTCTACGGAGCTCTGCATAAGATTAAGTTCAAGGTTAATGTCAGACCCTTCACGAGGGAACATGGAAATGTGTCATAGGGCTTCAGCCGGGGCTGAAAAGAATTTTCTGGCTCTCATGCCTGATGACTGGGTTTCCCACTTTGGGGAAGACTACTTAGATTTGACGGTGAAGTTTGTAACCTTTATGATACCACCCTTTATGGTTTTTCTTTGTGTTACAAAGCCATGACTTTCATTGAAATTCCACTTTCTACTGGAATTCACTGACATTTCTTTCCTGCTGATTGCTGGGTACCAGTACTGAATAAAATACTTATCTGTAAACATACATAAACATATTTAACTTCCTTCAGGAGTGTTATTTTTGTTATGTGCTTTGTATCAGTTTTTATTGAAACAACTGTCCACTTGTACTATGGCTATCTTTATAGAAAAACACTCAGATGTATTATATTTTGGTGATGTTGGCTTTCTGAAATACATTTGCTTTAGTTGCAAATACGGGGGTAATTTACCCACGTTAATCATTTCCCAGTAAATCTCTTGTGTTTTACTGCCGGCCATGAACACTGATGCTAGCACATTTCTTTTTAGATACTTTTTTTCAGGGTTATCGGAATACTGCTGCATATTCAGAATTGATGATTTCCTATAAGATTCTAATACATACCATGCCACACTTACATGATAAAACACTTGCTCATAGTTTAAAATCACTTAAAATATGTGTGTAAAGAAAAATGCTTAATTTTCCAAATCATTTGCCTATAGAGTGCGAATGTATCTTAAATCCTTACCTGATTTTTATGCTACTAGAACTTATCAAAACAGCAACGATTAAAAATACCAGTACTACTCAGTATTGGCAAGGGCATTCTCAGGCACTGTTGGGTAGGAATGTAAATTGGCAAACTTTGTCTACAGGGCAGTTAAGAAACAGGTAAGCAAGTATGTATGGCAAAACTTAAAAGTGAGAAAAACCTTTAACTTAGCAATGTTACACTGAAGAATGCACCCTGGTTATGATAGTCATCTCAATGCAACTGGTAACTGCAGAAAAACTGGAAGAACATGTTAATAATAGGAGACTAATTAAATAAGTTATGACACATCCACATAATGGAATTCTATGAAGCCATTAAAAAGGGTTGTTAGAGGGCTTCCCTGGTGGCGTAGAGGTTGAGAGTCCACCTGCCGATGCAGGGGACACGGGTTCATGCCCTGGTCCGGGAAGATCCCACATGCCGCAGAGCGGCTGGGCCCGTGAGCCATGGCCGCTGAGCCTGCGCGTCT